GGTCCTAGCACAATAGTGAAGGAAATCCATTTTCCTCATTTGTAAATCAAATAGAGCCTGATATATTTTAGCAGTATAATGTCAAATGAGCCAAGATGTTCTTGGCTGTTGAAATACCAGCAAACAGAACAGCCAAACTCACATGGAGACACAAGAACACCAGCATTAATGATCAATATGACCCCAAAGCCATTTTTTTCCAGTAATACTCAATTTGCTGCAATATCCATTTAATTTAAATTCTAACAGTAGAAAAAGTCAGCATTTGCAGTTATGCACATGCCTTACATGGCAAAATGTTAGATAACTTGTGTTATTTATAACCTGCACGTTTGTTTATTTTTATGATGGGGCAGGGGAAGGAGGACATAGTAGGCAAGGAGACTTTGGATTTTTTCCAGTCTAACAAAGAATTAAGAATTGTTTTTTCAAGAGCAACCAGGTTTATTTATGTGTCTTGTAGTTAGTCAAATCTTAAACTAGGCAATTAAAATTGATGTAGTTTTATGACCTTTAGAAAAGAAATCTGCACACATGGCATAGGACATGATGAGAGCCAAGGTACATTGACCCTAAAACTTTGGACCAGAGGCTAGTTCTTAAGCGCCTGCATTTTCAGCATGCCACACTTCCCAAGACTGCAAGATCTATAGTAATCATAGACTGGAAATAGATTTTTGGAGTCACAAAGTTGAAAGATGCTTCCTTTAAACTCCTGGGTTACTTCCTACCTTTGCCAAAAAACCTCAGAGGGTACCTAGGGAGGCCATATGTTCTCTTTCCAAAATGTCAGGGATCTTTTGCTTAACAGCATTTAACTTGAAGGGAAGTCTCTGTGGATACAAACTTTGTCCTAGCTCCCCATGCAGCAAAGACTCACAAAAGATCACAGGTTATTTCTAAAACTAATATTAAGCCTAAAGCAAAGGTAAGTAGGGCATGACATAGTAGAATTTAAAGGGAGTTTTTAAGCGGTAGTTAAAGACTGCTTATAGGTGTTGACTACTGTGTTGGGTGCTTTTTTTTGCCTCGTTCCGCCTCTTAGAATATTCTTTTCAATGTCCCCATTGTCTTATTAATTTTTCCTGCCCCCAAATCCAGCAAAATGCAAAAGGAATGATGGTAGATGGCACTTTCCCCTGCTCTGTGGCAGAGAGGAGTATAGGGTTTCAGAGATTGTAAACTTTCCTCTGCACTGGGACAGACTGCATGGGCAGAACCCATTAAATATAGCTATGCTGACAATATCATTCTGTGGGAAAAAAATCTGTCTGCACTATGTTGGTACCTCAAGCCAGGCAGAGAGCTGTCTTGATAACTCACTCAGATAATGAATAAAATGTGGAATGAATTCCTCACAGGATCAGTGCTCTGTTGATGTGAGAACTGGTTGCAAAGAATACGACAGGATCCTCCTGTGGCTGTTGTTTTAAGCCTTTCAAATACCATGGATTGCATATGCTAGAGTCAGGATATTATTAAAATAAATCCCTCAAAACTCCAGAGAGTTATGATACAACACAGTTTCCTTTGAGCTCGGGTGCCCTTATCACCAAGATATGTTGTGTGTGAATGCAATTTCTATAAAATTCTTAGAGGCTAGAACAGCCTATTACTCCTGCTATGCCCAGGAAAAAATCAGGAAAGGTATGTAGCAGTAATAAATCCTTGTAAAAAAAATTAGACCAAGATAGCATTGCCTAACTGCAGTTTTCCAGATGTTTGGGATGAAAGGTGGACTGGGCTGGAGAGGAAGGGAGTATTTCTAGATAACTAGAATAAATCGGTTGCATTTTAGCAGGAGAACTGAAGAGATCCAGAGAAGTGACACTTGTGTGCAAGGAAGCATTCTGCAAGCTCAGATGATGCCAGTGGGCAGGACCAAACAGGTCCAAAGAAATATTTTAGACATCCTTAATGAAGTAAATTCTTTGCAGTGCCAGATTAGGAGTAGTCCTGAGGATAAAGTGACAGGTTTAAATAATACTAGGGTAATTCCTAAATATTGGGACAAGATACTATTTTTTTTCTTAGTGAAGTGTAAGGGCAGGAGGAGAGGGTCTGGCATTACAGCAGAATGAAACTGTGGAAATGAGGCAGCAGTCTCCAAACCTGGTTGTGGTGCAGCCAACACAACAGGAATCAGCTGCTGGTCACATCAGGTGCTTTATGTTCCTGCTACTAAGGTATGAATCAGTTTTCACCCTCTCTTGTGGGGCTAATTGCCACTCTACAATTATGCCTATGGAGGAAATCATTCACTCAACACCCAGACTTCATTGTGGCACATTTGTATTCACCAATAACTCTCCTTCCTAACACCCTCACTACAGCCCCAAAGACAGGACCAACACTTCCTATGATGGGGATGCTGTAAGGACAAACAGTCAATTTTGGCTCCTGCAAAGATATTTCGGATGCAGCTCCCTAAAGCATCACACCTTCATGACCGAACAATAAAACCCATAGGTAAAGCAACCAAACTTCTGCTTGACCACTTGGGAACAGAGCTGTCTCCTGCCTCCTGGTCCTATTCACTCTGTAAACATGTTGTATAGCATTGGAGAGGTCACAGGAACCCTTTCAGTCTGTTTCTACATTAACAAACTATGGCTAAAGCTGCTGCATCTCCCACAGGAAGAGACAGTGCTGGTACTAATTAGCCAGGAATTAGCATTAGCTCATTAAAATATGCATAGATGACTGGAAATATTGCAAGGTTCAGAAAATTCCAATCACAGGAGTAACCCCAGCAATGTTACTTAATATTGCCTTCTGCTTAAGACCTTATGATCAAATACCAAAACATAGCATAGTTGGGACGAGCATATTTCTAATTCCAAAAGGTAATGACACAGATTATTTGGGATGAACCTGAAGGAAGAGCATTTCACTCTATGAGAAACAAGAAACACTTGGAATCCTTTTATTCCCACATTTAAATTACTGTGGAAGTACATACTTTACTGGATGCATCTTTTCTGCACCTCACAAATTTCCTTCTACTTCTGATGCATTCCTAAACCAATTCTTCAACACAGGGATTTAGCTATAGTTTAATTACAACCTCCTCACAGCTGCCTCCATACTGATATTTCTGCTATTTTCTCCTCTGAAAGCAATAGGAATGAGTGGTGAAGTTGGTTTCTTCCTTGAAAGTTGGTTTCATCCATCACCAACAACACAGCTAAGCCCAAAGAGCCTCCGAGTGTCTCTTCCCACTAACAGTGCAGACACTGACACCCTAAATCCAAAACACAGTAGTCAGATCTGGCAGGCAGGAAAGTGACTGCTGTGTTTTCTTGTTTTTCAAGCTAGTAAATGCAACAAAAGTGATTCAGATGTCAGCACAAGGTAATGAATATAGAGCCTCCCTACCTCACAGTCCTTAAATGACGCAGGCAGAAGCATTTAACACAGAACAGCAAGATAAAAATACAAATCTCTTGGGGAGGTGGGGGGAAGGCAAGGGAAAGCCAGAGAGCAAGGGAAAGGGGATTGTGCTGAGTTCCTCTTTGGGAGTCTAGAAGGTGGGTGGTACAAGATAAAAATCAGGAATTTGACTTCTCAGGACAGATGGATTTGAAAAAATCCACAGGCCAAACTAAAAATGGTTATCATGGTGAAGTTATGGGCTGTTTCAAGCTGCCAAAACAAATAGCTTGCATCCCAAAGCAGTAAAGGTTACGTGCATGGAAAATGGAGCTATCCCTGAGGGCCAACTAATATAGTGCAATTATAATAATAATTTTTGAGAGAGCTTTGAGAAAACCAGGGCGTGCAGAAGAACCTACGCTGACAGCATATAAGAAAGCCTAAAGAAGGGATGTTCCAGCTTAGAAAGGTTTTCATATTCACAGCTTGGCTGAAAACAGCTAACATTGCTGGAGAAGAGAAGGTAGTGCTACTTTAGCGATTAACAAGAGTTGGCTGAGGACACAGATTCGCTAAAAATGCTTTGAAATGCAATGGGCTTCAAGTTATTTCCTGATGCAGCTTGTGCCACTTCTACAAGAGATGTTCCAAAATAAAATGTAGCCACTTCTGGAATTTCAGCTAGGAATACTACAGGGGAGGGAATGGGGAACAGGAGAAAGAAACATTCTACAAAAAGGCTGTATGAATCTCCACTTTCTGTTCTTTTGGTAGAACTGCCAAAGTATTCTGAAAACCATGGTCTACAGCTTCACATTTACACCTAATGCAGTATTTTGTCAGAGTATTTCATAAATCAGTTATTAAATTATTGTAGATTTATATTAGCTATTATATAAAAATACTGCTTTTTAGAGAAAGCAGATCTCGGAGGGAGGGCAGAGCCCTCCATGTCCACGTGTTTTACTCCAAGGAAAGCATGACTGTCTGCTCGATGAAGAGAACAGGACACCAGGATCTCCTGGGCTTCTTTTCCAGGGCAGGCTATTTAGAGGCAGCCTCTCTTCCATGGAAACCAACACAACTCTTAAGTAAGCTTTCCTGGGAACATGATAAAATCCTATATCTGCCTTCCTCCCCTCTCCTGCAAGATATCAAGCACACTAGCACAGCTAGCCCAGCAAAGCCTTTGAGCACATCCATCTTCAGAACAAAATCACCATATTCAAAGCTGGTGCCTACAATGAGCATATGCATCTAGATGCTGTTTCCAGGACCAGGAATGAGCAGAGAACAGTTACACACATCTACCTGCTAAAGACATTTCCAGCATTAAACAAGACTCCTAGGGAGGGGTCACAATATGCAGCAGAGGAAAACTATTATCTAGATTCTTATCCACAATATTTGTTAATGCAAACAAATGGTACCGTATCAGTATGCATACACTACACATGTACAATATTTCTCCCACTCTTTTGGAGCCAAATATTGCCTGCTAAAGAAAGAGTAGCTTCAGGTTTGAGGAGGAGGAATAAGAAGACAGCAAATTTGTTTACAACACACCAAGCAACTAACAGTTGGATGTTTACACTATAAATCTCCCAGGAGAAGCCAGTACCTACCTACAGGGTGCATTCAGATAGTTCCTCCTTCCTTGAGTACTCCCTTTGAAGCCACAGAGTCTGGAGCATTCCTTGCCTTGAGGGAACATATTGCTGAGCTGCTACTTGTGCTAGGAAAGGTTACACCCTCTTTCTCCTTCCTTTATCTAAGGCAGTCAAGGACAAGGCTGATTGACTGAAGTGTGCTCAGGTGTTGGTCATTTTGGTAGGGAACTCAGGGCAGCTGAGGAGAGATTGAGCTCAGCTGGTGACAGGATTCAGGGACACATTCTGGATGCTTTAGGCAGTAGTAGTTATCTTGGCTGCTCATATTGGCCTAAGAAAGGAGCTTGCTTTGGGCTTAATGGGAATGGTTTATCTTGCAAGTCTCTAGTGGTTTTTTTTTATTATTATTCTTTTCTAGAAAGGGAAACAAGTGGTGTCCTCTGAAATTTAAAGCTGAGATCTCAACAAGGTTGTGTTGATTTTGTCGCTGCCCGATGGGTGCAGTCTCAATTTTCCCTTTTCCCCTAAATGCCTGTTCTTTCCCCTTCCCTCTGTGGATGAGCCCTCCAGCATGTCACACACCGAGGCCATCACAGCCCTGAAGGACCATGAGAAAGATGGGAAAGTCCTTGAGTGTTTCATAAAAACATCGCCAAATTCAGACGCCTCTGTGAACGTGCAGCCCTGGTTATGTGAATGAGGGGAAAATCAGCAATATAGTTAGCAACCTACCATGAAATTCACTGATTAAATTACTAGATAAATATTTGACTGGATCTAGCTCATGGGTATGTCATCCATGCAGTCTTAAAATAGGAAGGTAATGGGAAATGAGGGAGAAATGAGCCAAGGAACAGGAACTGGAATGTGATTTCTGGTAATACAGCTCGTGTGCTTCAGTACATTTTTAGCAATAAAAAGGACGTGTGCGGTGAAACCAAGAGCAAGACACCATCGTTAAAATAGCTGAGAGAAATTGCAGCTATGGAGAAGCAGAGCATTAAGCAGCATTTCTCCAGGAATGAATGAATTTATGGGAATCTACATCAGCCAAGCCTGGCAGGTAGTTTTTAACATGCTTGCAAGGAACCAATGCTATTTCCAGGAAAATCTCGCAAAGTCGAAGAGGGTGCAGGCTGGCTGGAGGGGGAGCCAAGGTGGCAAGGCAGGTGGGAGACATCACCGCTGGCAAGACAAGCAGGGACGATGTCCCCTGTCCAGAGCAGCTGTCCTCACATGGACCCTGTTCTCCTGTACGTCTGTCACTTCCAAATTACAAACCCATGAAGGTCTCAAAGGATGGGCCAAACCTATTTGTTTTATTTAGAAAAAATATTCAGGAAAATAACTGCAAAACGCATTTAATTCATTTTTGACTGGCTGGATTTTTAAGATGTTTTCCTTTTGCTCAAGGAGCATTGCCTGGCCCTTCAAGTTGCTGGGTGTTTTCCTGCACGGTGTGCTTGGCCGCTTTGCTCCTTGATGTTACCTCATCAAAGAGCAGCTGAAAACGGTGTTTCCAGCTAGAAAGTTTTCCAAAGTGCCGGTCGAACTTGCTCTGCCTCATGCCCTCAGACTGGCGATTAGATTGGTTTCCTGCATGTCAATGCAGCTACAGATACACGATAAACTGAAAAGACTGTGAGGTGCAGATGTAAAAAAAATGCAATCACAACAGGTTATTTTTGGTTTCAAAAGCACCTCCTCTCCCTGGGTCTTTTCAAGCCCTCACCTTCATACACAGCTGCAATGGGTAGGAAAAACAGGATGCAGGGCGTCACTAGAGGAATGGGACATAAATCGAAGGAGACAAAGTGGTTGCTGTGTGTTGCCTTGGTCAGACTTCAACCTTTGAGCAAGGTGAGTGGCGCTCATTGAGGACTCTCCCCATACCAGTGTTGTCCGGACACGTCTCCCTCCTTCGTGCCACTGCGTCACCTCCTTCCCCTGGGCTCACAAGGGCTCTAGACAGGCTGCCCCGCTGGCCCTGCACTTGAAGTGGAAATCAGACACCCGGGACGCTGAGCTGGGTTCCTGGGTTGACGATTAACCCAGGCGGAAGAGGCGGCACCGCCGGGAAAACAAACAGTCCCAAGTTCAGGTCTGAAACTGTAGAGCACGCTGAGAAATCGCCCTCTGGCCCCAGCCGGTGCAAGGGCAGGCACTTCCCCGGGGTATAAAGTATTTAGTGGCTCCCTGATTTCCTAACCCAGGTGCTCAGGAGCTAAATCAAACAGACTTCAAAGCCAGGAGGACTCTGAGGTCCCACGCTAGCGTGCATTGACTTCAGTTGAAGGTTCCTTGTTGCTCTTGATGCCCTGAAAGCATTTGATGCCCAGCTCTGAAGCATGCTCACTCCTATATCCAACAGCCCAGAATACTGATTTGTCTGGTCTCTTGCTGTAGAAAATTTGATGTTTAGAATTAAAAACTTGCCCAGCTTCCCCCAGGAGTGTTAACAACCACCTGGACCTGACAAGAGGTCCCTGAACATGGAGTTCTCCTCCACCAGTCCTCTCACCAGCCTAAATGCTTTCCAAGTCAGTGAAGGTTTTGCCCTCTAAAACACTGGAGGTCCAAAGCAAATAGTCATGAAAATAATTTTTATCATATCAGAATGCATCTCTATAGTTAACCTTACTACCCGCATTGGTCACCCCAAGTACTACTGGGAAGAAAACCACCAGTAATTCCTATTTTCTTCAAAAATAATTGCTAGCCTGACTTACATAAGTTATCCTTGATAATTCTATACTGTTACCCTCACCATAAAGGTCTAACTTGAAAATTCGAGATGTCATTAACCGCCATTGTTCAGGGGTTGCGTAAAATCCACAAATCCAGGAATCCTGCCTGCATATAAATCGAGATTTCTTTGCTATCAAAGACAATCCAACAGGAAGAAAAAGGGATATTCTGATCCTTTTCTCTATTCCTTAAAGCAATCTTCATAACACCAATTTTCAACCTGTAAAAGACAGGCTGCAACAGACTGACTGTAAAAGACAGACTGAGAAGAGCAGCTGTGAGAAGTGCTGTCCTGCAGCGATGGTCCCAAGGGTCATAACAGTGCTGGCACCAACTCTGTTGGAGAGGAGGGATGCTTTGGGGCAAGAAGTCCAGCCTTGATACAACCTGGTCTTTGGCCAGATCCTCTCAGAGACAAGCAGATGCCCAGGGCTCCAAGCAGTCCCGTTTGTGGCTCCAGGACAGCCTGGGACACGCCATCCCATCCTTCTGCACCCTATCTGTAGAGTGATGATACTTGTCTCCTTTGAAGCTATTTTTGGGAGGTAAGCAACATCCTGATGCTGCCAAGCTATATTTCCCCATGGAATCAACTGTGCGTTTCTCTCTGCAATGCCATCAGCACCTGGAAAGGCTTTGCTGCCAGTTCACAACCAGGTGGCTTTGCCATCTCTGGATCAGCTCCACCCCAGTGCTCTCTGAGGGCACAAGTGCAATTTCACATGAGCCATGAACCAACATAGCTGTTAATAACGTTGCTTTGTTGATAGCTTGGACCATTTTCAAACAGGGTTATTTGTCTCCTCAGATATGGGAAAGAGTTGTCCAAAACCATGTAGAAATATAATTATGTAGTAGTCCTATTGTAAATAATACTTCATTCTACTGAAGGAAACTGTTCTGCTCCTAATTAGGCTACATCTCAGAGCAAGTTGAAGCCTATTTACTAGACTAGCAGTCAGGATGTCACTGCATGATCTTCATTTCCATTAAACAACTGGATCAAACTCTCTTTATTTTTAGACTAACCATGCTGAGCTTTAAAATTGCCTTGATTATAATGTAGCTTTTAAATGATTTGTTGTGGCTGATCATTTTGCGCATGAAAGTTGCCACTAGCTGATTTAAAATAAAAAAAATCCACCATTGCTTCTTTTATTGCTGAGGAAATTGCAATCCTCAATTTGCAGCTTGAAAAGCATGTTGCCATGGAAATGATGCTTATGCCGTAAATAAAAGTATTTTGGGGTCACCAGGGTCTACTGCATAAAGAGGGGCACAAATACTGCCTGCAAAGGTGACAGAGTGGTTTAAACATATAGGAAGATAATTTTAATGGCATTTCACTTTCACTGTTATCGTCAGAAGGGCTGATGAAGGTTAACCTGTAGCTATGACCTTGGCATGAAAACAAAGCAGAAAAGGTCTCAGCTATTAGTATTAATAACAAAGCAGAGAAAACAGCGCTGTAACCCTGCTGACCGATATATCTGCTTGCTCTGATAAGTATTTTTCTCCTGTTGTGTTTTTTGCACTTTCAGTATGAAGTCTAAGTGTATATTTATTCAGCTTTACTGAATTCATGAGCTGCATCTCACCTGCCAGTCCAGAAGAAAACCTGGGAAACGGGCCCTGCTGATTGCCCCTTCCAGGGAAAACTCTGGAGCAAGGACGGGAAGCAAGGGCAGGAGCAAAGGAAAGCAGCAAAGCTGGGATTCAGCACAGAGGCCAGCAACGGGACACGTGTGTTTGGGACACATTGGCTGGCGTGCGACTCCAAGAGGGAGCAGGCACGTCCCATTTCTGGTGGCTTCCTCCTCTTCAATGGGCTGCTCAATGGCATTAAATGGGCCATGCCATGAAGTTGCCTTGGGCACGATCTCATCAAGGATACAACCTTCTCTTCTTATATTTTTAATACCCATACAGGCATTCAGAGCCCAGGCAGTCACTTTAAATAAGGCTACAGAAATTGCAGATGCCATAGCTTGCTTATTTACTTACTGTCTCTGAGACTGCCCAAAATGTGGAAATAATGTTTCCAGAGATGCTGGAATTCATGTGTCTGTTGAGGATCCTGGCTCCTGTCCTGGATGAGATTGCATATTCAAAGGATGATTCATTCCCTCCTCAGAGGGAGGAAGGGCTGTGCCGGCTGTACCACCTCTCCTTTGCTGATTGACGGCGCCGCTGATGCTTCCACGGGGAAGCCTTGTGCCTCCAGGTTAAATTATGGAACGAACAAAAGAAGAATGAGATGGAGAAATAATTCACAGGGGGATAAAACTAAAAGGAGTTGGAAGATGCTGCCAAGCCAGACTGACAACAACATTTTAATCTGCCTCAGCCCACA